TGTCAGTATTGAACATGGTGGTCAGTCGGAGCCCTGGCAACACTGAACCTGTGAAAGCCAAAGAGGAACTGATCTTCCATTGTGGATTCAGGCGCTTCCAAGCCTCACCTTTATTCTCTCAGCATACTTCAGGTCAGTAGTGTGGAAGCCTTTCAGTTCTCTTCCATCTTATTTTTCTTTTTGGAGACAGAGAGTGATGGAGGACAGAATACAAAGTTCCAGCTCTTATGTGTCTGGGTTTGAGGTGTTTTCAGTACTCTGGCTTAGGAGTCAATGATGTTTTAATTCAAAATGTCTGAACCTGTCTGAGGCATCTTAATGATGCAGCTTGTGTGGTGCTGAGACTTCTCTGTCATGAGTACTTGTATCCAAGTAAGTTTTGAATCAGTTGGTAGCTTTACAAAAATGGGTATGTCAGTGTGGAAACCATAGTGTCTGGCATAACAGTGGCAGTGAGTAAAAGGGTGGTGACTTTTGTGGCTCCCCAGCTGATAAAGAGATGGTAAGATTGCATTTAGTAATTTAGTAATTGTACTCCTATATACTATGAGATAGGTTATCCTCTAACTTGGCTTTTTTTTGTTGTTGTTGACTGTGGGCCTTGAATTCTGTGCCTGGACACTGTCCCTCAGCTCTTCAGCTTCAGGCGAGTGTTTTACCACTTGAGCCACAATGCCACTTCTGGTTTTCTGGTGATAAGAGTCTTATTGAGGGCTGGGAAGGTGGCTTAGTGGTAGAGTGCTTGCCTTGCATGCATGAGGCCCTGGGTTTGATTCTTCAGCACCACATAAGCAAAAAGAAAAAAGCCAGAAAGGCTCAAGCGCTAGCCTTGAGCTGAAGAGCTGAGGGACAGCGCCCAGGCCCAGAGTTCAGGCCCCATGACCAGACACAAAAAAAAAGTCTTATGGACTTTCCTGCCTGGGTTGGCTTTGACCATGATCCTCAGATCTCAGCCTCCTAAGTATCTAGGATTACAGGTGTGAGTCACTCAAGCCTGTCTTAACTTGGCATTTTTGAATATCACCATAGCTCATTCAGCTTCCAGCAATGTCAGGAAGAAGACATAAAGGCAGTATTGGTAGTCTGAATAGTTTTTATTATTCTCACCAATCATGCTAGCCAAGACTTTTTTTTTGGGTCCGGTTGCAGGGCCTTAACTCTGGGCCTGGGCGCTGTTCTTCAGCTCTTCAGCTCAAGGCTAGAGCCACAGCGCCACTTCTGGCTTTTTTTTTTTCTCTTTGCTTATGTGGTGCTGGGGAATCGAACCCAGGGCCTCAGGCATGCAAGGCAAGCGTTCTACCACTGAGCCACCTTCCCAGCCCCCCAAAGACTTTTTTTATTAAATATTTTTCTTTTTCTCTGGCTTTTAGTATATTAAGGTCAGGTTCAGCAGACAAAGGTTTTTTTTATTTTTAAATTTTTATTTATTTTTTGTCAGTTGTGGGGCTTGAACTCGGACTGCGCACTGTCCTTCAGCTCTTCCGCTCAAGGGGAGCACTCTACCACTTAAGCCACAGCACCACTTCTGGTTTTCTAGGAGTTGATTGGAGATGAGAGTCTCATGGACTTTTCCTGGCCGTCTGGCTTTAATAAATCACAATTCTCAGATCTTAGCCTCCTGAGTAGCTAGGATTATAGGCATGAGCCACGGTGCCCAGTGATTTTTAGGTTTTCAGATTTGTCCAACTTTTTCTTTTTGTAACCAAAGTTCATTGGACTGTAGTGTGCCATTTTAATTTTCATTTGTTTGTTCATTTGTTTATTCTTAGCACAGTGTCTCACTACATAGCCCAGGCTGGTCTTTCAATCCTCCACTTCTGCCTACTAATTTATATATACCTTTTGTTGTTTTTGGTCGTGGGGCCTGAACTCTAGGCCTGGGCGCTGTCCCTCAGCTCTTCAGCTTAAAGCTAGCACTCTACCATTTGAGCCATATTGCCACTTCCAGCTTTTTCTGCTTATGTGGTACTGAGGAATTGAACCCAGGACATCATGCATGCAAGGCAAGCACTCTTACCACTGAGCAACCTTCTCAGCCCCAATTTATATATACTTTTTAAAATCTCCAGGTGTATATATTGTCTGTGGCTGCTTTTATGTTACAGTGGCTGAACTAAACAGCCTCTGTGTGGCTTCAAAGTCTAAAATACTTTGTATCTAGGCTGAAGCACTGGTCAGTGCCTGCCCAATACTAAGTGTTGTTGTAGCAGAGGGTGTCAGCAAAGCACTGATTTCTAAATGAGGTGGGGCACTGGGCATCAGAATCCTCTGGAGAACTTGTTTTTCTTTTTCTTTATTTTATTTTATTTTGGGTCATGTCGTGGGGCCTGAACTCTGGGTCTTGGCGCTGTCCCTCAGCAGTTCAGCTTAAGGCTAGTGCTCTACCACTTGAGCCACAGCGCCACTTCCGGCTTTTTTCTTTTTGTTTATGTGGTGCTGAGGAATCGAACCGAGGGCCTCATGCATACAAGGCAAGCGCTCTACCACTGAGCCACCTTCCCAGCCCGAGAACTTGTTTTTCTTTTGGTGCTGGTCTTAGGGCTTGAACTCAGAGCCTGGGTCCTGTCCTTGAGCTTTTATGCTCAAGACTAGCAATCTACCACTTGATCCAGAGCTCCATTTCCAATTTTTTTGGTGGATACTTGGAGATAAGAGTCTCATAGACGTTCCTGCCCAAGATGACTTCTAACTGGCTCAAATCTGAGCCTCCTGTGTAGTAGTTAGGATTACAGGTGTGAACTACCGGTGCCCTACTTGGAGAACTTTTTGAACCTTAAATACAGTTAAAGCTCCAATTGATAGGACAAAAGTTACATCTTTCAGTTTTATTGAGACAACTTTTTAAAAACTTTTTTTCATTATGAACCCCTGGGTGGCCTCAAACACAATTGTCTTGTCTCTACCTTATAATTGGTGGGGTTACAGGTATATACCACCAAACATACTGTGAGGCAGGGGGGAAAAAAGAGAATTAATGAAGTAAAGAAATAAAAGTGGGGGCTGGGAAGATGGCTCAGTGGTAGAGCGCGTGCCTTGCATGTCTGAGGCCCTGGGTTCGATTCCTCAGCACCACATAAGCAAAAAGAAATAAAGCCGGAAGTGGTGCTGTGGCTCAAGTGGTAGAGCGCTAGCCTTGAGCTGAAGAGTTGAGGGACAGCGCCCAGGCCCAGAGTTCAGGCCCCACAACCGGACCCAAAAAAAAAAGAAAGAAAGAAAAGTGGACTGGGAAGGTAGCTCAGTGGTAGAGTGCTTGTCTAGCATGCATGAGGCCCTGGGTTCGATTCCTCAGCACCACATAAGAATAAAAAGCTGGAAATGGTGCTGTGGCTCAAGTGGTAGAGTACTAGCCTTGAGCTGAGGACCTGAGGGACAGTGCCCAGAACCCAGAGTTCAAGCCTCACGACCAATAAATAAATAAATGAATAAATAAATAAATGAAGGCTGCTTTTGGTTTAGCAGTTGACCTTGTACAAATAATACATGCTGATAGTTTTTTGTTTTTTTTTTTTTAATATTAAAAGAGTTGTGGTTGGAAAAGAGCACTTGCCTGCCATGCACAAGGCCTTCGGTTTGGGAGAAGTTAGCAGTGATATAACCCCTTTGGATTGTTTATGGTTTCTCAAAATGTTTGTGATTTTTCTTTAACTCTTTTGGCAGCGGACAAACATAAATTTCAGAGATTCCTAACTGCTGATGCGGCTGTAGTGGTGACAGTGTATGCACCAATCACTTTCCCTCCTGCATCTGTGCTGCTTTTCAAGCAGAAAAGTAATGGTAAGTTGAGTTCACAGTGGTGAATGGGCTTTTTGGTAGCATCATCACTGTTTTCTATGTTTAGATTCGGGAGTCACGTGGTATGTAGAAGGTTAGCAATGGTTTCAAAATATATCAGTCTCTGACTCACAGTGAGTCTAAGCTACCAAAGTGGGTGCTATGTTTAGGGTAGGTTTGGGGAACAGGCTGAGGCAATATCATTTAGTGGTCTTTACTGTAGTTTCAGAAGGGAATAGTAGAGTGCATTGCTTTTTTTCCCGTGGATTAAACTAGTAAATGGAGAGTGTGGTCTATAGATTCTTGAACAGCCTCTTTTCTGTCCCCTGTAGGAATGCACAGCCTCATTGCTACAGGACATCTGTTATCGGTGGATCCGGACAGAATAGTCATCAAGAGAGTTGTTCTAAGTGGTCATCCTTTCAAAATTTTTACCAAGCTGGCAGTAGTGCGTTATATGTTCTTCAACAGAGGTAACATGAAGAAGGAGGATGGGATTTGATTGTTTGTGATGGGAAGGTTGGGTTTACATTTTGTGGGTAAATGTTTCATCTTGGTCTTCTATGTTTTCCATTCTTAAGAGGATGTGCTGTGGTTTAAACCAGTGGAACTGAGAACAAAGTGGGGCCGCAGGGGACATATCAAGGAACCTTTAGGTAAGAATGTGAGATTTGGGGACCTAATAGATTTCTCCAGTGCTACTCTTGGGATTGGTGCACACTGATTTTAAATTTTTTACTTTTAACTTTACTAATTATCATAATCTTTCCAGGTACTCATGGTCACATGAAGTGCAGTTTTGATGGGAAGCTAAAATCTCAGGACACAGTGTTGATGAACCTCTATAAACGGGTATTCCCCAAGTGGACGTATGATCCATATGTACCAGAACCTGTATCTTGGGTGAAAAGTGAGACTTCTTCAACAGTGCCTGAAGTGGACATAGAATAATGGATTCACTGGGATCTGACCATTCCTCTGATAGGAGTCTGTGGGATGTGATCGGGCAGTTTGTCACTACTGTGTTGGCCTATTTGTCTGCTGCCCCACTACAAAATTTATTTAGACCTGAAGTATCACATATGGAAAATTTTCGATTGTTTAACCCAAAAAGCTTATTAAATCTTACTGAAATTTCTATTTTTCATTAGGGTTCTGAAAATTATGAGGAAAAGATAGAAAACTTTTCATGTATTTGGAGACACTGAGTCCTATCTCTTCCTTTTACATAAATTAAACAGAAACAAACTGATACGGAGTTGGCCTTTCAGCCTCCTTCACCCAAGTTAGGGAGGTTAAGTCTACATTTCCACCACTGAGCACAATACAAATATTCTTTACTTCCGGAGATACTGTTTGAAAATTCTGAGAAAGCACAGCAGCTACTCCAACACCAGCAGTAGGTTCAATGAGGAGTTTCATTCTCTCCCATACCAACTGGGTTGCAAACTGTTGGTAAGAAGGGAGTAAGGATTAGTACAAGAGGAGAAAGGAGAGGAATCTAGTAGTTTTTTGTTTGTTTGTTTGTTTGTTGTCATTTGTGGGGCCTGAACCCTGGACCTGGGCGTTGTCCCTCAGCTCGAACACCCTACCACTTGCCACTTCTGGCTTTTTCTGCTTTATGTGGTGCTGACGAATCGAACCCAGGGCCTCACGCATGCAACGCAAGTACTCTACCACTGAGCTACCTTCCCAGCCCCAGTTTATAGATTCTAAAAGCAGATGAGGATACTACTCAGTCTGAATTTTTTTTTTCTCTCTTTTTTTATGCATGTGTATGGTATATGAGACTGGGGTTTGATCTTGCTTTTGTTTGGCAAGTGCCCTTCCACTTAAGCTATACCTGAAGACTCCTGGTCTGAATTTTCTTATTGCTATGTACAAATAGAAACTTTCAAACTTAACTAACTGCTACTATTGAAAAGTTTATCACAAAACAGGTCATTAAATCAACTAGCTAAGTCCCTATGGGTCAATTGCAATTCATCATAGAAGTTGCCCTATTTTCCTATTGGAGGCTCACCTTAATTTCATCCTCTGTGACAATGAAGACATCATCCACAAGGTCCCTTATTATGGGCCAGGTGTTTAAGCCAATACTGGATTTGACACCATCTGCTATGGTTTCTGGAGGGTGAAGATTGGGGGTCAGTTCCCCTTTCAGTTTAGACTGATAGCAGTCATCTGCGTTCAAGGGTTCAGCCGCATATACCTTCACATTAGGTTTCAGAGCCTGGAAAGAGGAATATATGTCTGATATTGGCCTGTAGTTGCTTGGACCATTGGCTGGGAAGGGTATATACTGCTGTAGGCAGTAGGCTGATAAGTGGGGTCTGGGAAAGGACTGAGGGTGCTGTTCCTCAGTCTCTGTTGTTTTTGTTTTGTGCTGTAAGATTATCACAATGGCAGGCAAAGAGGAGCTTTCCATATACAATTTAAAGAGATGATGGTAATGATGCACTATGATGTAAATAAATCTGTTCCTAATGCATGAAGTTTTTGAGAAGCTGTTTTCTCACCTTAATTGTAATTGCAATTCCAGCAGCCATTCCTCCTCCCCCTACAGGTACCACCAGTGCATCCACCAAGGGAACCTAGGGTAAAAATACAAAGGTCTCTTAGTAAGCAGTTTTGTATTTATATATAAAATAACTAGGAATGTGGCTTAGTGGTAGAGTGCTTGCCCTGCATGCATGAAGCCCTGTGTTTGATTCCTCAGTACCACATATACAGAAAGAGCTGGAAGTGGTGCTTGAGCAAAAAGCTCAGGGACAGTGCTCAGGCCCTGAGCTCAAGCCCCAGGACTGGCAAAAAAAATAAAATAACTGAATCTCTGGACAAACTACCAGTAGCTAAACAGGAAAAATTAATTAGGTTGTGTTACCTGATTTAGCACTTCCAGGGCAATTGTCCCTTGCCCAGCTATCACTGCAGGCTCCTGGTTAGGGTGTACCATGATACCTTCTGTTTCTTCCATGAGTCTTTTTGTAACCTTTTCCCTAGACTGAAACAGCACATTAAATTAATTTACTTGACTTGAATTTAATACAGTTCCCAAAACAATTTAGGTTTGTTTTTTTTGGGGGGGTCCAGTCGTGGGGCCTGAACTCTGGTCCTGGGCGCTGTCCCTCAGCTCTTCAGCTCAAGGCTAGCACTCTTCCACTTGAGCCACAGTGCCACTTCTGGCTTTTTTCTTATGTGGTGCTGAGGAATCAAACTCAGGGCCTCGAGCATGCAAGGCAAATGCTCTACCACTGAGCCACTTTCCCAGCCCGTTTTTTTTTTTTTTTTTTTAAGGGGCGTAAGGTAAGTCATGGGGCTTGATCTCCCGGCCTGGATGTTATCACTAAGCTCCTTTGCTCAAGGCTGACCTTCTGTCACCTTGAGCCACAGCTCCACTTCTAGTTTTTGAGTAGTTAATTGAGATAAGTCTCACTGGGACTTTTCTGCCTGGACTAAAGATCCTTAGATCTTAGTCTCCTGAGTAGCTAGGATTATAGGCATGAGCCACTGTACTTGGGCATTTGATTTAGTATTCAACTCTTATTGACACTTTTTTTTTTTTTGGTCGGTCATGTGGCTTGAACTCTGGGCTTGAGTGCTTTCCCTGCTCTTCAGCTCAAGGTGAGCACTCTACTGCTTGAGCCACAGAGGTACTTCCGGTTTTCTAGTGGTTTATTGGAGAAAAGAGTCTCATGGCCTTTCCTGCCTGGTCTGGCTTTGAACCGTGATCCTCTGATCTCAGCTTCCTGAGTAGGTAGGATTACAGGCATGAGCCACCGGTTCCTGGCTTGACCCTTAACTATTTTTCACATTTTGTTCAGTGGGGATAATTATAGCAGTGAGCAGAATCCCTGTCCCCCACCCCCAAGTTAAATTCTTCGTTTTGTTTTTGTTTTTTTTGCTGGTTCTGGGGGCTTGAACTCAGGGCCTGGGCTTTGTCCCTGAGCTGCTTTGTGCCCAAGACTAGCAAGGAGTTATATTCTTAGGAATTAGATATAAGTAAATGTATGGTCTGTTCAAGTACTGATGATAAAATGACAAATTACAGTTGAATAAGTGCTATTGGTATATAGAAGAAAATTCCAAGGAAGTGACAGTACTAAGTACAAAGACAAGGTTGGCAGTGGTCTTTGAGGACCTGCTAAGAAGTTAGTGAATAGAGTAATGTTAGGAGATTAAATAAGTATTGGCCACTTCAAGACGTTGATTTTTTTTTTCCAGTCCTGGGGCTTGAACTCATGGCCTGGGCACAATCCCTGAGCTGCTTTTTGCTCAAGGCTAGCACTCTTACCACTTGAGCCACAGTGCCATTTCCAGCTTTTTCTGTTTATGTGGTGCTGAGGAATTGAACCCAGGGCTTCATGCATGCCAGGCAAACACTTTACCTACATTCCTAGTTATTTTATATATAAATACAAAACTGCTTACTAAGAATCTTGATGATTCTAAGAATTGTAGTTAGCAGGGCAAGTAATTCAGTGTTGGAGTGATTGTTTAGTATACCACAAGGCTAAGCATTCCAGCCCCACCAATGAAAGACAAAATTTTAGGCCAAGTACTGATGGCGTAGCTGTTCAGGAGGCTGAGATCTGAAGATTGAAGTTCAAAGTTCAAAGCCAGCCTAGACAGGAAAGTCTGTGAGACTCTTATCTATAATTGTGAGACTTTAATTAAACACCAAAAAGCTGGAAGTGGAACTGTGGCTGAAGTGGGAGAGGGCTAGCCTTGAGCCAAAGAAGTTCAAGGACAATGCCCAGTCCCTGAGTTCAAGCACCAGGTTTGGCATACACAAACAAAAAGTCAGGGTTGGGAAGTGACTCATGCATGAAGCCCTGGGTTCAATTCCTCAGCACCACATAAACAGAAAAAGCCGAAAGTGGTGCTGTGGCTCAAGTGGTAGAGTGCTAGCCTTGAGCTGAAGAGCTATGGGACAGTGCCAAGGCCCAGAGTTCAAGCCCCACAACTGACAAAGCAACAACTCCAAACCAAAGGTAAGGAACTATGGAAGAATTTAGGTTGGTGAGAAGAAACAAGTTCTAAGTTAACTAAATAGCCCTGTTTGCTCTGGAAAGTTTCTTTTTGCTTATGTGGTGCTGGGGAATCGAACCTAGGGCCTCATGCATGCAAGGCAAGTACTCTACCACTGAGCCACCTTCCCAGCCCCTGCTCTGGAAACTACAGGGATAAAGATAGTAGCAGAGACCAGTTAATTTACCTGAATCTAGGAGAGACTTGATGTTGATTGGATCATGGTGGTGTGGTAGAGGTTGTTAAAGGACAGATTTTGATGCTGGATATAAAAGGGTTGTCAATTTTTTCCCCCCAAGATTTTTGCTAGAACAATTATCAGTGTTGCCATTTTCTACATTGAGAAAGACTAGAAAAGGGGATAACTGGAGAGTAAGAGCAGAGTTTGGTGCTGGAGATGCCTCATAATACATTCAAGTAGGAATGTAGCTGTTGAATGCAAGTCTGAAATTAAGGGTAGATAGGGTACAAAGTTGCAGGAGACTGATGGTTCATGCCTATAATCCTAGCTATTCAGCCTCCTCAGGATCAAGGTTTGAAGCCAGCCTGGTAAGACAAATCTGAGAGACTTGTATCTTCAGTTAACCAGCAGCAAAGAAAACAAGGTGGCTCAAGTGAAGGGTGCCAGCTTTGAGTGAAGAAGGTAAACAAGAGCATGAGGCCTTGAGTTCAAGCACTAGTACTACCACCAGAAAAAGCAAAATGTTTTTAACAGACTGATTATATCATCTGAGTAAGTACAAATGGAGAAAAGCTTAGGCAGTATAACAGATGAAGAGGAAATAAAGGATCCAGAGAAAACATCCAGGAAGGTAGGAAGAGCAGTTCGGTTGGTTAAGTGAGGTTGTTAAGGTGGTACTGAGCACTGCTTTCTTCTTACCTCATCACTAGGTTCACTGTACACTATAGAGGCTCCATAGGCTTGTATTGCCAGTTTTTTACAGTTGGGAGCTGTTTGGGGCACCACAATATAAGCAGGAATCCCTGGGAAGAGAAAAGCAATTCAGTCAGAATTTAGGATAAATCGTTAATATTCATTTTGCTGTAGTCTCATGAGGACACATTGTCCACGAGATATGGGATACTTTCCACTCCTGATAATCTTACCCAGTACCCTGAGAAATTAATTCAAGTACCTTCCAGTTTGGCAGCATAGGTGAGAGCCTGACCATGGTTTCCACTGCTGTGAGTAACAACAGCCTTGGGCTTCCCCTCTAAAGTGGATGAAATTAAGACTTTGATAGCATTAAGGGCACCACGAATCTGGAAAAGAAGGATGGTAAATCCACGTATAGTTGTGTATCATTGAACAAAAGGGGTATATTCTGAGAAAAGCATCCAAAGGTGGTTGTAGAAGCAAACAGCCTGCTCTACATCTATTGTACCCAGTATGACTGTTCTCAGGCTGCCAACCTGGACAGCATGTTAACTATCAATCAGTACTGGAGGCAAAAAAAAAAAAAAAAAAACCAGTAAAAATGAGGTATTAAGGATAAAAAAATTATATATTTGGGCTGGGAAGGTGGCTCAGTAGTAGAGTGCTTGCTTTGCATTCATGAGGCTTTGGGTTCGATTCCTCAGCACCACATAAGCAAAAGAGAAAAAAGCCGGAAGTGGCTCTGTGGCTCAAGTGGTAGAGCACTAGCCTTGAGCTGAAGAGCTGAGGAACAGTGCCCAGGCCCAGAGTTCAGACCCCACAATGGACAAAAGAAAAAAAAATACACACACACACATATATAGATAAATATATACACACATTTATATAGAATATTTACTATGAGTGTAGCTTACAGAACTCGAAATTACTTTCAGTGTCTAATGAGTCAGGAATATTAGGGACTACTTTGTACCTCATAAACACCGTACAGCTAAGTTATACTAAATTATTTTTTTCTTAGAACTATTTTTTCAGCCAGGCACCTGTGGCTCATGTATGTAATCCTAGTAACTCAGGAGGCTGAGATCTTAGGATCACAATTCAAAGCCAACCTCGGGCTTGATTTCAAATGTGTGTGTGTGTGTGTAGCACATTGTATAAAGGGTTTTTTTTAATTGTAAAGCTGATACACAGAGGGGTAATAGTTACATAAGTTAGGTAATGAGTATATTTCTTTTTGAACAGTGTCATCCTCCTTCATTTTCTCCCAGTTTTTTTTCCTCCCCACCTATATAAAGGGTTTCATTGTGACATTCTCATTTATTCATAAAATGTAGCCATCAACTTTATCCCCTTTACCACTCCTGTATACATATTCACATCTTAAGAGTAATTTCACAACAGCTTTTATTTTTACATAAGCATACAAAGCACTTCAAGTACAGTCACACCTCACCCTTTTTCCTCCTGTGTAACTTTTTCACTTTATGAACTTTTTACTTAAAAAAATCTTGAGCCTGACACCAGTTGCTCACATCTGTATTTCTAGCTACTAAGGAGTCTGAGGTCTGAGGATCATAGTTCAAAGCCAGCCCGGGCAGGAAAGGCCATGAGACTCTTTTTTTTATTTTTGGGTCCGGTCGTGGGGCCTGAACTCTGGGCCTGGACGCTGTGCCTCAGCTCTTCAGCTCAAGGCTAACGCTCTACCACTTGAGCCACAGTGCTGAGGAATCAGAACCCAGGGCCTCAGGCATGCAAGGCAAGCGCTCTGCCACTGAGCCACCTTCCCAGCCCCAGGCCATGAGACTCTTATCTCCAATAAACCACCCACCAGAAAACCAGAAGTGGTGCTGTAGCTCAAGTGGTAAAGTGCTAGCCTTGAGCTGAAGAGCTGAGGGACAGCGCCCAGGCCCAGAGTTCAAATCCCACGAATGACCCCCCCCCCAAAAAAAAAAATCTTGTTGTTTTTTTTTTTTGGTCGGCCGTGGGGCTTGAACTCTGGGCCTGGGCGCTGTCCCTCAGCCCTTCAGCTCAAGGCGAGCGCTCTACCACTTGAGCTACAGCGCCACTTCCCCCCAAAAAAAATCTTGGTTCACAATTATTACCCAGGAGGTTGAGACTTGGATTACAGTTTGAAGCTATCCTGTGCAGAAAAGTCCTCACAACTCCATATTCAATTAGCAAGATGCTGGGCTGGAAGGGCAAACTCAAGTGGTAGGGAGCAAACTGAGCAAGCATGTGGCCCCTGAGTTCACCCCAGCAAAAATTGAATACAGCAACCACACAGGCCTTGAGTTCAAGCCCTACTACTGGTGAATCAGTGGGGTAAAAAAATGCAGGCTGGGTGTGTGGCTTAACTGGTAGTGTTTGCCTTAAGTTGAGTAAGGACCTGGGTTCAAAAACATACAAGCTTTCAGACTAGTGACTAGAAAGGGTGAGTACTTGCAGTTGAAGAACTACCAGTTATTAGGCAATAATACCTGCCATCAACAATGCTAAATATAGCTTTCTGACTGAAAGGATGAGTGTGTGTGGAGAACAGGGACTTAAAACTCAGGGCAGAGGCTGGGAAGGTGGCTCAGTGGTAGAGCGCTTGCCTTGCATGCATGAGGCCCTGGGTTCGATTCCTCAGTACCACATAAGCAGGAAAAGCCAGAAGTGGCACTGTGGCTCAAGTGATAGAGTGCTAGCCTTGAGCTGAAGAGCTGGAGGGACAGCACCCAGGCCCAGAGTTTAGGCCCCACAACCAACAACAAAAAATAAGCAGTGTAGTCAGGTGGGCCACTCCCCCCCTCCCCGCCAAACATAGCTCCCCCATAAGGATAATTTATTATTTATTTTTGCCAGTCCTGGGGCTTGAACTCAGTGCCTTGGCATTGTTCCTGAGTTTCTTTTGCTCCAGGCTAGCACTCTGCTTCATGAGCCACAGTACCACTTCGGGCTTTTTCGGTTTATGTGGTACTGAGGAATTAAACCCAGGATTTCATGCATTCTAAGCAAGTACTATACCTCTAAGCTACATGTCCAGCCCCTAATTTTAAATTTTAATTTTTGGGGGGGTCATGGGGCTTGAGCTCTGGGCCTGGGCACTGTCTCTCAGCTCTTCAGCTCAAGCCAAGCCCTCTACCACTTGAGCCACAGCACCCCTTTGGTTTTGAGGGGTTTATTGGAGATAAGAGTCTCATGGAGGGCTGGGAAGGTGGCTCAGTGATAGAGCACTTGCCTTGCATGCATGAGGCCCTGGGTTCAATTCCTCAGCACCACATAAGCAGAAAAAGCCAGAAGTAGCTCTGTGGCTCAAGTGGTAGAGCACTAGCCTTGAGCTGAAGAGCTGAGGGACAGCACCCAGGTCCAGAGTTGAGGCCCCCAATAAAACAAAAAAAAAGAGTCTCATGGACTTTCCTGCCTGGGTTGGCTTTGAACCCTGTTTCTCAGATCTCAGCCTCCTGAGTAGCTAGGATTACAGGCGTGAGCCACTGGTGCCTGGCTAATTTTTAATTTTTTATTGCCAGTCCTGGGGCTTGAACTCTGGGTCTAGCCTCTGTCCCTGAACTTCTTTTGCTCAAGGCTAATGCTCTACCATTTGAGCCACAGCACCACTTCTACTTTTTCTGAGTAGTTCATGGGAGATGTGTTTCCTAGACTTTCCTGCCTGGGCTGGCTTCCAATCCTGATCCTCAGATCACGGTCCTCAGCCTCCTGATTAGCTGGGATTATAAGTGTGAGCCATTGGTGACTGGCTATCAGGGTAATTTTTACATCATATTAAAGTGGCTTGCTGGGCACTGGTGGCTCACACCTGTAATCTTAGCTACTCAGGAGGCTGAGATCTGAGGATCACAGTTCAAAGCCAGCGTGGGCAGGAAAGTCCGTGAGACTCTAATCTCTAATAAATCACTAGAAAACCAGAAGTAGTGCTGTAGCTCAAGCGGTAGAGCGCTTGAGAGCGCTTGTTTTGAGCTGAAGGGCACAGGGACAGCGCCTAAGCCCAGAGTTCAAACCCCACGACTGACAAAAAAAAGTGGCTTCTCAGCTGGACTCTGGTAGCCCATGCCTAAAATTTTATTTCTAAATAACCACTAAAAAGCCAAGAAGTGGAGCTGTGGCTCAAGGGGTATCAGAGACAGCACCCAGGCCCTGTGTTTAAGCCCTAAGACCAGCACAAAACAAGTGTCTAATCAACACTATGATGTTAGGTTAACAGGACTAGAACAATTTTTTTTCTTCAACCTTTTTGTCCAACTGCAAAAAAAGGTTTTAATTCTACCTACCGTATTAAGTGGTCAAGAACATCAAATACATTTATATGTTGAAGGGGTTTGGAAACACACATGATACACTAACAAGAAGGGTCTTTACCTTAAATGATCCAGTTTTCTGGAAGAGTTCACATTTGAAGAAAAGATTGCGCCCTGCAACTTGATTCAAAATTGAGCTTGTTAGCACTGGTGTGAGGTGGATATAATCTTGAATGTTGACATGAGCTTTTTGAACATCATCAAAGGAGATGCAGTATTGAGCACACATGGTTCTGAAACCCAGGAATAAGAATGGGGTCAAATCTGAGACAATCTGTTTGTTGAAAAATACATAACACAGGAAAATAGACCTATGTGGAACTGTGCCCATACTAAAATGCCAAAAATTTGTGTACACTGTAGGACTTGGTTTGAAGAAAATTTTCTGGTATTTTTGGAAGCTAAAGCTCACTCTTCCACTTATACCATTCATGTCTTGTCATTGCCACTGGTTTACATTTTAGTCATTGTGAAGTTGTTTGGATGAACTAAGTTTACAATCTGCTGTAATACATTTATTACTATTTGTATGTGTGAAAGACAGTCTCACTATGTGTCTAGACTGAGCTCAAAACTGGGCTTGCCGGGTGCCAGTGGCTCATACCTGTAATCCTAGCTACTTAGGAGGCTGAGATCTGAGGATCACGGTTCAAAGCCAGCCTGGGCAGGAAAGTCTGTGAGACTCTTATCTCCAATAAACCACTAGAAAACTGGAAGTGGCACTGTGGCTCAAGCAGTAGAGCACTGGCCTTGAGCTGAAGAGCTGAGGGACAGCGCCCACGCCCTCAGTTCAAGCCCCATGACCAAAAAACAAACAAACAAAAAACTGGGCTCAAGGGAATCTTCCTGTTTTATCCTGAGACCGGGAAGTGGTACCCCAGACTCCCAGGTATTAGGGCTATAGGCATGCATCATTGTGCCTGGCCTATGTTTTTTGTTTTGTCGGTCATGGGGCTTTCTCAAAACAACCACTAAGCCAGGCACTGGTGGCTCATACTTGTAATCCTAGATACTAGGGAGGCTGAGATAGAGGGAGAATCGTGATTTGAAGCCAGCCAGGGTAGAAAAATCTGAGAAATTTATCTCTAACCAGCAAAAAGCTGGTAGTGGCCCAAGTGATAGAGCACCATCTGTGTGCAGTAAAACCAAGGAAGATACTGAGTTTCTAAGTTCAAGCCCCTGTACTGGCGTGTGTGTATGCGTGAGTGCGTGCATGCACGCACACACACACATATTCACACACAAGTTCTTGATTACTCAAAATTTTATTGGCTTCTCTCACAGATTAATTCTTCCATGTGAATTCCTTTAGCAAAACTTACTGTAAAATGTATAAATTAAAATAATTGATATTGAGCAACATTCGAGTCTCATGCAGTGCCTGGAATTCAAGCCCCAATATCAGCAACCTTCCTAAAAATAAAACAGTCTTCCCATGAAGATGAACATTTTTTAATTTAGTAAACCTTTTTGTATAATTCTCCGTATCAGTCGCTGGGAATGTGGCTTAGTGGTAGAGTGCTTGCCTAGCATGCATGAAGCCCTGGGTTTGATTCCTCAGTACCACATAACTGAAGAAGCTCATGACAGTGCCCAGCCCCTGAGTTCAAGCCCCAGGACTAGCAAAAAAAAAAAAAAAGAATTCTCAGTATCATTTTCATTGCTGGAAATGGACTTCAGGAGATTAAGCAACACTTAGCCTCAGCTTTTGTTTTTGTTTTAGTACTGGCATTTGAACTCAGGGCTGCACTTTCATTTAGCTTTTTATTCTAAGGCTAGCACTCTATTACTTGAGCCATACTTCTACTTCCAGCTTTTGGCTGGTTAATTGGAGATACGGTTTATGGACTTTCTGCCTGGGCTGGCTATGAACTGGGATCCTCAGATCTCAGCCTCGTCATTAGGTATAGGTATGAACCACCAATGCCTGGCTCTGCTGTTTCATAACTGAATTTCCTTTAAATTTTTTTCATAGCTTCAGATAGGATTTAATGTACTTGGCTAAAATAATTATCTTGAAGATTTTCTTGGTTTTCAATTCTCAGGTTTCTCTTTTATTGTATTTATTTTCAGCCTCCAGGGGAATTGAGGAGCTCCACCAGCTTAAAAACAAAATAAAAGCATTTAGTCCCATTCAGTTTTTCTTTTCTTTTTTGAGGTAGGGTCTTGATGTGTAGCTCTGGCAACTGTGAACTCAGCCTTCTCCTATTACTGTTTTCCATGTTTAGTGACTCTTAATTATCTTGGGTCACCTACTGACATCTGAACCAGTAACTGTGGCTCAACTGAAAGAAAGTATAGTTCTCCTGACCTTTTATTTCCTTTATTTTTTGTAGTGCTAGGAATTGAACTGTGGGCTTCATGAATGCTAGGCAAGTGCTCTATATCCTAGCTCTCCTTACTCCCTTTTTTTGTGCCAGACTTGAGGCTAGAACTCTGGGTCTAGGCACTGTCCCTGAGCTGCTTTTGCTCAAGGAAGGCTAGCTCTCTACTACTTGAGTCAGAGCATCACTTCTGGCCTTTTCTGAGTAGTTTACTGGAGATAAGTGTGTCACGGACTTTTCTGCCTGGGCTAATTTCGAACTATGATCTTCAGATCTCAGCCACCTGAGGAGCTAGGATTACAAGCATGAGCCATCAGCATCTGGTTTCCTTACCCTTTTAAAGAAAATAATTATACTAGCTTCAAATAATTTGTCTTTGCCTTATAAACAGCTGAAAACTTTTTCAGTGACCTTATTGGTTTCTGTAAATTTGTCACACCGTATGCTTTCATTATATTTGAACAATTTAAAATTTCAAGTTAGTTTAAAGTTGTACATATTAACATTACAAAAGATGGGGCTGGGAATGTGGCTCAGTGGTAAGAGTGCTTGCCTTGCATGCATGATGCCCTGGGTTCAATTCCTCAGCACTACATAAGCAGAAAAAGCCAGAAGTGGCAATATGGCTCAAGTGGTAGAGTGCTAGCCTTGAGTTGAACAGCTGAGGGACAGTGCCCAGACCCAGAGTTCAGGCTCCAAGACTGGCAAGTGGAAGTTAGGCACACTATCAAGTGATACTGTGCCATCACTGATGGAAACTGAAAGCAAGAAGCCCTGAGTTCAAGCCCAGGACTGATACACACACACACACACACAAAGTGATGGGAATTTGTAGCAGAGAATATTGAATAATTCAACCCCGCTCATTCAAATATTTCCCTTGAAAAAGAACACAATACTGTAGGTAAAGACTTTTTTTTTTTTTTTAAGTTGGTCATGCGGCTAGACCTCTGGGCCTGGGCACAGCTCTTCAGCTTAAGGCGAGCGTTCTACCACTTGAGCTACAGCACCACTTCTGGTTTTCTAGTGGTTTATTGGAGATAGGAGTCTCAGTCTTTCCTGCCCTGGCTGGCTTTGAACCTCAATCCTCAGATCTCAGCCTCCTTGAGTAGCTAGGATTACAGGTGTGAGCCACTGGTGCGCGGCTAGTAAAGCCATTTTTGGCCTAAAATACTTTATTCTTTTTTTTTTTTTTTTTGCTGGTCTTGGGGGCTAAACTCTGGGACTGGGTGCTGTCCCTCAGCTCTTCATCTTAAGGCTAGCCACAGCACCACTTCCGGCTTTTTCTGCTTATGTGGTACTGAGGAATCCAACCCAGGGCATCATGCATGCAAGGCAAGTACTCTACCACTGAGCCAACTTCCTAGCCCTGGCTTTGAACTTTTGATCTTCCTGCCTTCACCCCGAACTCTGGGATTACAAGTGTGTGCCATCAAGCCTTAGATTTTATATTTTTAGAAAATCAGTTTAGCTACGTTATGGTGAATGAAAAGGAAGGAGACTGTGGGCTGGGAAGGTGGCTCAGTGGGTAGAGTGCTTGCCTTGCATGCATGAGGCCCTGGGTTCAATTCCTCAGCACCACATTAGCAGAAAAAGCCAGAAGTGGCAATATGGCTCAAGTGGTAGAGTGCTAGCCTTGAGTTGAACAGCTGAGGGACAGTGCCCATACCCAGAGTTCAGGCTCCAAGACCAGCAAAGAAAAAAAAAAAAAGGAGACTAATGAAATGAAGGAGTGTACTTAAGGAAATCAGGACTGTATTTTGGTTAACATGAAGGATAAAAGAGGCTTAGATGGCATAAGCAAATTAAAAATAATTTATTTTGGAAACAGAAACCTAATTTTAGGAATGGATAAGAATTTGAAATTTTTCTAGAGAAGATACGCAAATGACTAACACACAGGAAAAATGTTCAAATTACGGAAATGCAAATCAAAATCACAAGACCTAGGTATTATCTTATACCATGAGATAGTTACAACAAACAACAAAAACCCACCCAGAAAATAAGTTGAAAAGATATTGAGAAATTAGAACCCTTATGTACGTTTAGTGAGGATATAAAATGGTAGAGCTATGGTAAATGCTATACTTCTTTCTCAAAAAAAAAAAAAAATCTGACATAGAACTATCATATGACCCAGCAGTTCTACTCCTGGAGGTAGCCCCAAGAGAATGTCTGGCTGGGAAGGTGGCTCAGTGGTAGAGTGCTTGCCTTGTATGCATGAGGCCCTGGGTTTGATTCCTCAGTACCACATAAGCAGAAAAAGCCAGAAGTAGTGCTGTGGCTCAAGCCAGAAGTAGTGCTATCACTTGAGCCACTCAAGTGATAGAGTGCTAGCCTTGAGCTGAAGAGCTGAGAGGGACAGCACCCAGGCCAAGTCAGGCCTCAGGACCGGCAAAAAAAAAAAAAAAGAAACCCAGGTGTCCATTAACAAAAGGATGAAATGCTTGCCGGGTGCCAGTGTCTCACGCCTGTAATCCTAGCTACTCAGGAGGCTGAGATCTGAGGATCGAGGTTCAAAGCCAGCTCAGGCAGGAAAGTCCGTGAAACTCTTATCTCCAATAAACCACCAGAAAACTGGAAGTGGTGCTGTGGCTCAAGTGGTACAGCACTAGCCTTGAGCTGAAGAGCTGAGGGACAGCGCTCAGGCCGAGTTTAAGCCCCACAACTGACAAAAATTAAAAGTATGAAATGCTGACACATGGTATAATAGGGATGAATGCTGAGGACACTATGCTAAATGAAGCCATTCAAAAAGGAGGCATACTGTTTGATTCTACTTATTTGAAATATCTAATGGAGCCAAGTTCATGGAAGAATAGTTGCCAGGGAATATATGGGTTAGAGGAATGGGGAGTTGTTTAATAGATCTGGTATTCTGATATTGACTGAACAACAGAAATATATTTAAAGAATCATACACTTAAAATGGTAAATTGGTAATTTTTTTTTTATCTCACACACACATACACAAAATAGATGTATTTTAGAGGTTGTAATAAGTTAGGCCTGGGTTGCAAGTGAGAGAAGTCCAATTTGAACTAGTTTAGACAAAAGAGGAGGGTGTCCAGATTTACTGGCTCATGGAAAATCCAAGGAAGAGTTAAACCACAGAATAGGGAGTTTCAGGAACAACAGGAACCAGGAACTGGATAGCTTCCAGGACTCTCAGTTCCTCACCTCTGCAGCTCTTTGCATGTTGGTATCTTTTTCATTGCAGACCAGCTGGTTCCATATGGCAGGGCATGTGGCTGCTGACAGCTTCTGTGTTTTACATTTTATGGCTTCCACAGTGGAGAGGGATTTTCTTTCTCAATTTCAGTTCAAAAAATTCTGGGTAAGAAATTCTGACTGTCCCATTTCGGCCCAGGACCAGTGGCCAAGGGTGTGAGGTTAGTTAAAAAAATACAAGTAAAGTGTTTACAGAAACATCAGTAACAGATCAGTAACAGAATGAGATCTGTAACATACTATCAATTACATACATTTAAAACAGATACATACGTAAAACATTATATATTATTTAAAGATACAACATATTCATGGACATATATCAAACACATTAGTCACTCACCTAAAGGGAGGAGATGGAACATGAGTGGAAATTGAAATAAAAAGCAAAATGATAAAATAAGAATGGCTTGTTGACTGTGAACAAAACAGTATAACTGTCTCATTTCTCTTCACCTGAGGGAAAATAACAGCAAAAGAAGGAATGATGAATGAAACAAAGAGAAAGAAGAAAACAATGTACTTTTGAGTGGGAAATTCAATGTAGAGGAGGAGCAGGGGAGATGGTATCAAGAGTAATTCTTCGGTTTTGTATTAGGTGGTAGTACAATTTTCTTTTTTTAAAAGAAGTTTTGTTATTTAGAACAGGCTGGCTTAGAACTCATAATCCTGACTCAGACTCTCAAGTGCTGGAGCACCACCAAGCCTAACTACTTTATTGAAATTTGAGACTAGTGAAGAAGGAAGAAAATGAGATTTGATGAGCTAAGTTTGAATTGCTTATATCTATCCTTTAAAAATTTATTATTAAAAAAAGTATTTTTTGCCAGACACGTATCTATTTTAGCATTGATTTATTTTTTTCTTGCCAGTCTTAGGCTTGAACTCAGGGCCTCAGCTGTCCCTGAGCTTTTTGGACTTAAGGCTAGCACTCTACCACTTGAGCCACAGCTACACTTCTGTCTTTTTAGTAGTTTATTGGAGATAAGAGTCTCATGGACTTTCCTGCTCAAGCTGGCTTTGAACCACGATCCTCAGATCTCAGTCTCTTGAGTACTAGGATTACAGGTGTGAGCCACCAATGCCTGGCTTAGCATTGATTTCTGAAAAAAACAGCTTTCACTTATCATGAACATTCCATTCGTTTTTCTTATTATTTTCTTTTTGGTTGTAAGTACTAGGGTCTGAAACCAGGCCTTTGTGCTTGCCAGGCAGGCACTCTTACATTTGAGCCATGTCTAGACCCTGTTTTACTTTTTTTTTTTTTTTTTGGGTCCGGTTGTGGGGCCTGAACTCTGGGCCTGGGCGCTGTCCCTCAGCTTTTCAGCTCAAGGCTAGCGCTCTACCACTTGAGCCACAGCACCACTTCCGGCTTTTTTCTTTTTGCTTATGTGGTGCTAAGGAATCGAACCCAGGGCCTCATGCATGCAAGCAAGTACTCTACCACTGAGCCACCTTCCCAGCCCTGCAATATTTTTGTCTTATATTTCTAAGTAAATCTCATGCTCTTTGTCTTTATTTCCTGAGATGAGGTCTCAGCTGCTTCAGTGGTTTGCACTACAGATATATGCCACTTTTTTTGGCTATTGAGTTAAAAAAAAATAAATGATGATAATTTCTTTTTCTTTTTTTTTTGTCGGTCATGGGTCTTGAACTCTGGGCCTGGGCGCTGTCCCTCAGCTCTTCAGCTCAAGGTGAGTGCTCTACCACTTGAGCTACAGCACCACTTCCGATAATTTCTTTTTCTTTTTCCTTTTTTTTTTTTTTTTTTGCCAGTCCTGGGGCTTGAACTCAGGGCCTGGGCACTGTCCCTGAGCTTTTTTTGCCCCAGGCTAGTACTCTACCACTTGAGCCACAGTGCCATTTCTATTTTTTTCTGTTTATGTGGTACTGAGGAATTGAACCCAGGGCTTCATGCATGCTAGGCAAGAATTCTTACCACTAAGCCACATTCCCAGACCCTGATTATAAATTCTTATTTGTAACTCTTCATTTCTAATTTTATTACTCAAAAATGTGACATACTTTTTTCCCCCCTTGTGCTGGTCAGGGCTTGAACTACTGGAGATAAAGAGACTCATGGGCTTTCTTGCCTGGGCTGGCTTCAAATCATTATCCTCAGATCTCAGCCTCCTAAGTAGCTAGGATTACAAGTGTGAGCCACTGATGCCTAACCAAAGTTTATAATTTTTATTTTTAGGAATTGAATTATTCTCTTACCCATTATCTAAATTTGCTTTTTTTTGTTTACAAATGTAAAACAAACAGTAGTATCCAAAACCTTGTCTATCATCAAATTCACTTTTTCCCAAAACTACTTTTTTATGTTTTCCACACCATTTTGATGTTACATAGATATTTACATATACAATAAAAGGTTTTTCTACATACAAGATAGTCATACTATCCATATTCTTCTGCAAATAACTTTAAGGAAAAGCATTTCGTAATACATCTGAATACTGTTCCATGCCAATACTTAAAAGGTATTTTAATTCTTTAAACTCAGAAGCCTTTCAGTGTAACACAGACCTAAATATGTTGATATTAAATTTCTTTTTCCAGTATTGGGGACTGAACTCAGCATAAGTCAGGCAAGCACTTTATCACTGACCTACATCTCTACCCATTTTAAATTACACTTTTAGATATATATATATATATATACACACACACACACATATATTTTTTGTTTTTGGTCAGTTGTGGGCCTGAACTCTGGACCTAGGCACTGTCCCTCAGCTCTTCAGCTCAAGGCTAGCATTCTACCACTTGAGCCACAGCATCACTTCCGGCTTTTTCTGCTTTTGTGGTGCTGAGGAATCAAACCCAGGGCCTCATGCATGAAAGGCAAACAAACACTCTACCATTGAGCCACCTTCCCAGTCCCTTAGATATTTTTGAGACTAAGTTTCCCAAGTTGGCCTTGAACTTATGATCCTCTGCTTCAGCCTCCTGTGTGCTGGGATCACTGGTGTGCACCACCATGCCTGGCTTTGATTAGTACATTTGCTCTGGCCACTGAAATCATTCTCTTTCTTTAGGACTGATGATTCATTGTACATTTATTGCCTAAACAAAAACTGTTGACTATTTGAGGGTTTAGAAGCCTTCTGTGAAGCTGGAAGAAGACAGCCTTAGGGGAGGGACTTTCCCCACATCATAGTTTTTACGAGGTTCGCAGTCAAAAAAGGCTAAAGTAACAGTCTTCTGGTCTAATTAAAAGTTCAAAGATGGCCGGGCACTGGTGGCTCATGCCTGTAATCCTAGCTACTCAGGAGGCTGAGATCTGAGGATCACAGTTCAAAGCTAGCCCCGGCAGGAAAGTCCATGAAACTCTTACCTCCAATAAACCACCAGAAAACCGGAAGTGGCGCTGTAGCTCAAAGTGGTAGAGCGCTCGCCTTGAGCTGAAGCCCGGGCCCAGAGTTCACGCCCCACGACCGACAAAAAAAAAAAAAAAAAAGTTCAAAGATGGAAAAAAAATAACATGAGATCTAGAGAAGGGCTTTTGTTTGTTTTTTTTAGAATCCACAGTGGTGCCAACATTATCACACAGCTTCTTCCATCTGTAAGAGCCAACCGTACTGAATATAGCATTTGAAAGTCAGGAGGTTGGGGGCTGGGAAAGGGTGTAAAAAAAGCCATGAAAAGACTTTGAGACCCTGATGCTATCCAACTATGTACGCTGGGCAAATTACTTATTCACTTCTCCTAGATTCAGATTCCTGATCTTAAAGCTGGAGTTGATATACTGGGCTCCGGTCGCTCAACGCGTGTAATCCTAGCTACTCAGGAGGCTGAGATCTGAGGAACGGGGTTCAAAGCCAGTCCGAGCAATAAAGTCTTCGAGACTATCGCCAACAGACCACCGGCCCTCCGCCCCCCCAAAAAAGGCCGGAAGTAGAGCCGAGGCTCAAGTGGTAGAGCGCTAGCTTTGAGCACAACAGCTCTGGGACAGCACCCAGGCCCTGAGTTCGAGCCCCAGTACCGTCCTCCCCCCCCCCAAAAAAAAGGTTGTTGATGATAATAATTACTTGACAAGATCTTTAAAGTCCCCAAACAAAACCCTGGGGCGTTAGTCCCCGGCCTGCGGCAGAAGACTCCGGCCTAAAATGACTGGAGAGGCCAGATCTGGGGTGGAGGGGTGGGGGAGGAGATGTCTCCGTCAACCCGAACCTCAGACCAGCAGCAGTGTGCTGGGTGGTCACCATAGCAGCGGCACAGGCAGCCTTCGCGTGAATGCCAGCCTGGCGAGCCAGGCCACCCGGGCCGCGCCGCATCTCACCTCGCCTCACCTCACCTGGCCCCCGCCGCTCGCTTCCACCACCAGGCACAGCGCACCTTCCCCCGCCTACACCTCTGCGCACGCGCAGCACCCTCTTCTCCCGCCCAACCCTTCGTCAACCTGCGTTCAGTGCTTTTCCTCCCAGTGCGGCCACCGTCGTTCGTGGAGGGCGGGCGAGAGGGGGCGGGGAAAAGGGTGGGAGTGGGTGAGCGCGCGCCGCCCGTCCGTCGTGGTTTCCTGGTTGCGCGCGGTGGTGGCGGAGTTGCTGCAGCCTGAGCAGCAGTCGCGAAGATGGCGGAGGGGTTGGAGCGTGTGAGGATCTCTGCGTCGGAGCTGCGAGGGATCCTGGCCACTCTGGCTCCGCAGGCCGGGAGCAGAGGTGAGTCGCACCGCCCAGCTCCTGGGCCGGGCCTGCCCGCCCCGCCTCCCTCTCCTCCTCTGCCGCCTCCCCGCCCAGTCAGCGGCGCTCCGGAGCCCCCGCCCCTGCCCCGACAGTGGGGGCGGGGGCCCGGACGCGGGGCGGGGGTGGGAAGGCGGGCCCCTGGCCTCTCCGGGTCCATCCCGGGGCTGGGACGGGGCCGCGGCTCTGGCTCCGTCCCGGAGAGCCCGGGCTCCTCTTTCTCCTCTCGAAGGTGACTGTTCCCGGGTTCCCCAGCCCTAGTCGACCAGCCCAGCGGACGCCCCTTTAGGGGACGCCGAGGGGAAGGCATGCTGGGGGTCTTGGTGGGCGCCCTGGGGTGCGTCGTTTCCGAGAGAACCTTCTCTTTGGAGTCGGAGAGGAGGAGCTGGGGAGATGGAGGAGAATTCAGGCCAGGACTTCCTGGCTGAACTTTTTCCCCAAGGCAGGATTCTGAAAGCTGCGCTGCTGGAGGGGGCATTCAGAACCTTAGAGCAAAGCCTCCACTGGCTTTGGCCTTGGCGTGTGTGGGAGCTTTTATTTATTTTTTTAATCGGAGAGAATTGCCAGTTTAAAGTGTTAAAAGTCTCCAGCCACGTCAGGAAATCTTAACCTCTCCTCTGTTAGGTGTGGAGTTGTGTAAGAATTGTACTCATAGTAGGTGTCTTCTGCAGGCTGTGGCTAGAGTTTGTGAGATTGGGTTCTTCTTGGTCAATTGAATTGGATTATTCAGGGCTGTTTTCCCCCCACTCTGTTCTGGAAAGTCGTAGTAGGTCTACTAAGCCTTTTCCTGGTCCCAACCTAACTTGCAAGGTTCACTGAGGGTTTTCTGAGGTTACACTGCTTTGTTTCATATTTGATGAAGTTCCCCCATCCCCACCTTCCTTCCTGAGGATTGAACCCAGGGCCTCTTGCATGCTAGACAAACACGATCACTTGAGTCATACCCCAACACTATTAAGAATCTTTTTAAACTTCTGAAAGTGTCATAGTATCTTAAACGTCATTTTCTTTTCTTCTGTTTTTCCTATTTTGTTATAGCCACAAAAAATGTGTGTAAATGTGGGTCATCTAGTACCCATAGACTTGTTTGCATTTGTTTACTGTACAATACAATGCTTAGATTTTATATAACATTCCATTTTTGAGTAGAGGATAATATTATTACTAAGTCCCATCACTTGAAATGTTTAGTGGATACTTGTAATCTCCCAATCTTAAGGTAACGGATACAAAAAACATACTTATGTATCATTCAATAACTCTGTGGCTCCTGGAGAATGGCTTATAAAGTTCTGTACTCTATTTAGTACTAGTACCAGGTTTGGACTCAATGTCTTGCTTGCTTGTGGCTGATGCTCTGCCATTTGAGGCATATTTCTAGTTTGGTTAATTGGAAATGGAGTCTCACAGTTCTGCAAGGATTAACTTCAAACCATGATCTTCCAGCTCTTGGCCTCCTGAATAGTTAGGATTACAGATGTAAGCCACTGCTGCCCAGGACTGTACTCTTTTTTTTTTTTTTTTTAAGGTGCTGGTACTACTGGTGCTTGCACTCAGGGCCTGGGCACTGTCCTTTAGCTTTTTTACTCAAGGCTAGCTCCCTACTACTTGAACCACAGTTCCACTTTTGGCTTTTTTTCTGATTACATGGAGATAAGAGTGCCATAGACTTTCTTGCCCAGGCTGGCTTTGAACCATGATCCTCTGATCTCAGCCTCCTAAGTAGCTAGGATTACAGGTGCGAGCCACTGGCGCCTGGCCTAGCCACTGTATTCTTATTCTTGAGTGCCTCAGTGCCTGGTACTTTGATAGCATATCACAATCCTTCCATCAGTGTCAAGAAAAGGTTCCTCTGTAGAACATTTTTCTTCTCATATTCCATTGTCATAGTAGCAGTTAGCCTCCGTATTCTAATGATGATAGTTTTGGTAGTATTTTCTTGAAATGACTCTGTTGACTGCTGTTAGAGAGGTGATAAGAATGTGTAGAATTGAAAAATGTAAATGGAATTGCTTCATGTTTTCCTTCAATAGTAGGTATGTGATAGGGTGACTGGTAGCCTAAAGAAGAGGATTGTCTAGTCAAGTTTACAGACTAGAATTGCTATTTTTTTCTCCAGAGATGTCTAGAATTATTGATTGCTGTGCATATTTCTCTTTTCCCCTCTTTACTGTTTTTTTTCTTTGTTTGTTTGTTTTGCCGGTCGTGGGGCTTGAACTCTGGGCCTGGGCACTGTCCCTGAGCTCAAGGAGAGTGCTCTACCACTTGAGCCACAGGGCCTCTTCGGTTTTCTGGTGATTAATTGGAGATTAGTCTCACAGATGTTCCTTCCCCGGGCTGGCTTTGAACTGCGATCCTCACATCTCAGCCTGTTGAGTAGTCAGGATTATTGGTGTGAGCCACCAGTGCCCTGCTTATTTTTTGGTTTATTGTACTAAATATTGAATCTTGGGCCTTGCCCATACTAATCAAACATTTTATCACTGAGCTGCATCACCAGCCCTGCTTTTAAAAAAACCTGAAAAAATTTTGGTAGTACCAATATTTGAACTGAGGGCTTCATGTTTGCTAGGCAGGTGTTCTATCACTTGTGCCATCTTTTTTTTTTTTTTTTAAGTTTGAGAGAGGATCTTGCTAAGTTTCTGAAATTGACTTTGAACTCTCTCTATAGCTTGGGGTGGCTCAAAGTCATCCTTCTACCTCAGTCTCCCTATTGCTGAGATTACAGTTGTGGCACACGTCCACCCTCCCCCCACTTTTTTTTTTTGTTGTTGTTGGTGGTGGGGCTTGGACTCGACCTGGGCGCTGTCCCTCAGCTCCTCAGCTCAAGGCTAGTGCTCTATCACTTGAGCCACAGCTTTTTCTGCTTATGTGGTGCTAAGGAATCGAACCCAGGGCCTCATGCATGTAAGACAAGCACTTTACCACTGAGCCACCTTCCCAGCCCAACCCTCCCCTTTTTGAAAGCCTCCTGTTTGCCTTCTTTGGCAAGTACTGTACCATTAAGTCACATCCCTCCCTCTGGCTGCCTGCTAATGGTAAAAAGAACCTAGCTACCCTGGAAAAATATTAGAGGCAGAAGAAACGATTGAGGTGGATTCAAGAACTCTATAGTGAGTAATTAGATGCTGAAAATGTTAGAGTTCAATTATTCTGACAATAATGAGGTAGTTTGGGGTCTTGAGGTAATTTGGGGTCTTGGAAATCTGAATATGAATATAACTTGGGTCACCAAAAAGAATATAGGTTCCCCATTTTCTGAACCCAAGTATAAGTAGCTCTAATATAGCCAGGTTCTTTTTTTTTTTTTCTGAGAAAATTTATTAACACTTAAGTGAAAAGAGCACATAAAATTGTTGATAGCTGGGGCTGGGAAGATGGCTCAGTGGTAGAGCGCTTGCCTTGCATGCCTGAGGCCCTGGGTTCGATTCGTCAGCACCACATAAGCAAAAAGAAAAAAGCCGGAGTGGCGCTGTGGCTCAAGTGGTAGAGCGCTAGCCTTGAACTGAAGAGCTGAGGGACAACGCCCAGGCCCAGAGTTCAGGCCCCACGTCCAGACCCCCCCCAAAAAAAATTGTTGATAGCTTATACACACAGTTATGTTCTTAGCTTTGATGCTTGAGAAAAATATTATAACCAAGAATTTCTGCTTTTACAGAAACAGTCTTTCTTGTTTACCAAGATTAGCATTTGGACATGTAATTATTGCTTGACTTTTCTGTTACTTAACCAGAATGACAGTCTTCTCCCCTTCCTCCTCTTTTATTTTTCTTCTATTTTACTCTTCAACTCTCTCCCTAACATAACAGAAAACATGAAGGAGTTAAAGGAGCCCAGACAGCGCAAAGATAACAGGCGCCCAGATCTGGAAATCTATAAGCCTGGTCTTTCTCGATTAAGGAACAGACCTAAAATCAAGGAGCCCTCTGGGAGTGAGGAATTTAAGGATGAAATTGCTAATGACAGAGATTCTTCTGTGGTTGGAAATGGTACACAGCTCATTAAAGATGTCTGCAAGGAAATGGACAATGAACAGCAAAATGAGCCTGTAGACCCAGAAAATAATCAGGCACAGGAGACTTTTTCTCGGACTGCTGGACAAGAGGATCGAAGTCTAAAAATCATCAAGAGAACAAAGAAACCAGACCTACAGATCTATCAACCTGGACGGCGGCTGCAGACCATTACCAAAGAGTCAACAGGCCGGGTGGATGAGGAAGAAATCCTTAGCCAGGTGGAACAATTGAGAGTAGAGGAAGATGAGTGTAGAGAAAAAATTGTAAAAGAGCAAGTTGTGAATAAGTTAGACAAAGCTGAGACAGAAAAGAACCAAAGTAATGACAGAGGAAGGACTACAAAAGGAGAAAAAGGAAAAAGGATTGAAAAAGGGGAGGGGATGAAGAAAGTGAATGAGGACCTAGCTCAAGGAAAACCTGGATCTGCAAAGCGCTACTCTCGCTCAGACAAACGAAGGAACCGCTACCGCACTTGCAGTACCAGCTCAGCTGGTAGCAACAACAGTGCTGAGGGACCTAGCCTGACAGATAATGGGTGTCGCCGCCGACGGCAGGATCGGACCAAGGAAAGGCCTCGGCTGAAGAAGCAAGTATCAATGTCCTCAACTGACTCCTTAGATGAAGATAAAATTGATGAGTCCTATGGATTAG